AACATGCTATTTGACATGTCTAGCGTTTTTATGATATCAAATTACAGATTTACTATCAAATAAATGGGTCAACCATTATTTCATATATATTCACAATAGATAGATGGATGGATATGATAGAAAAATAGATGAGAGAGAGAGAGAGAGAGAGAGAGAGAGAGAGAGAGGGATTTTCATGGTATGGAAAAATCATAATTGCTCCCTTTTCCCTAAGAAAAATGCGATGCTTTAAGTCACTTATCGACACCTACATCTACCGAACTTATTAGAAACTGGATAAAATTTAAAAAAGAAAAGAAAAAAAGAAACAAAACTGTGCTAGTAAACAATCGTTCCTCCAATATTTCTAAGACCCATTTCCCTTTTAAAACAGTTACGAGAACCTTTGGAAACAAGACAACTCCTAAAAATATTTAAAACGTCTAGATATCTCAGATCCTGACGTCACCACCGAAAAGTTATCCAACCAGGTTCAAATAATTATTTATCATACCTAAAATTTGCAAGAATATTGACCAAGCCGTGCAATTTTTTTTATTTCAAAGTGCGTTGATATGGTCGATATTAACGCACTTTGAAAAGAATTTTTTTTTGAAGTGCGTTAACGTTGTCCCAAAATTAACGCACTTTGTTAACGTTTAATTCGTCACGTCATAAATATGTTATAAAATGCATTGTTCGTTCAGTTATGCTCAAAGTAACGATAATAAAGATTATTATACTTTGTACAGGTGTTATCATTCAAGATGTTTATAAATGCGCATAAAAGGGTTTGTCTTGGTATTAGATATGCTGCCAGCATTGCTAGTGTGGTATTCGAGGAGTGGAATATGAAGCTAAAGAACACTAATCGAGATCAAACGTCTGTTGGATCAATACACATCGGGAGCAGAGCAAACACGGACCTCTAAAACATCAGAGGTGGGATCAGGTGCCATGGAGGAGTAAGCATCCCCTGTCGACCTGTCACACCCGCCATGTGCTCCTTGTCATGATCGGATAAACGGAAAAATTCGTAGGTAATTCAGTGTAAAAATAATGGCCTAACAATGTGTATGAAAATCAACCAAGAAGTGGGGATCGCCTATCAAGGCCTCCCTCGCCCTATTTATAATTGATAAAACTGTGTGTTGTTTTAAATTTGATATTTGCCATTTGAATACACGTACATACTCAATACGAATGAACTGTTGGAGCAACATCTCTAGCCAAGTTAAGACCTTTAAAATTGACAAGAGCAAGTCATTAGAATGGTTCTTTTCTGTTCCACATCTATTATACACAGAAACTACTAGAAGAAACCTTCTGATCTAAACACCTAGAAATGTAGCATCTTTGTCTACTAGTATCTGCCATATTCTTGACCTACTTGTTTAAATTCTGAGCATTGAAAGTAGAAGGTAGTGGACTGATTGATTGATTATTGCTTAACGCCAAGTCGGCACCTCACCATTTTTTTCGGCGGTAAAGAAGATGGATGAACATGACGAGCGAAAAGCCTATAGTGTGACAAACATGAAGGTGAAAAATCAAATCTCAGTTATATCAAATTTTTCCTTGATTGATTGTATATTGTTTTACGTCCCATTCGAGAATTTTTCACTCATATAGAGACGTCACCATATACCGGTGAAGGGATTCAAATTTTGACCTTTGCTCGACACTCAGGGCCATTGAGCAGTGAGAGATCTTTATCGTGCCAACGCCTGCCATGACACGGGGTCTCGGTTTTTAAGGTCTCATCCGAAAGACCCGCAACTTTCACTCCAAAGTGCCGAGCGCATGGCGAAGGAACAGTTGCTACCTATTTTTTATCGACTTAGGTCTGTCGCGGCCGAGATTCGAACTCACGACCTCCCGAATTTTTCCTTGATATTTCATCTAACATTAAAATATACTTTATGTAAAATCTCTGCAATTTGCAAAAATCTCACAAAAATTGAAATTATTTGCTTATGAAATGTTATACACACACTAAAGAGGGCAAAAAGAATCATTTTCTCATACTATAAAACTATATTTTTTGATATAAGTGGGTCTTCGCTCCATTTTTTCGAAAGTTAATCTTCAGAGTTTGCATAAAAAAATATACATTTTTTGGTTAACAAAAATATGGAGCAACGACCCACTATACCTTAAAAATATACTTTTATGACATAACATTCGGTTCTTTTCGAGAAATACTTGAAGTCCATTAAGTCAAGGGTCATATCACAAACATGATTTAAATGTCACTATTCATCAGGACTTGTGTAGTCTAGTGGTTAGCGTGCTAGTCTCGAAAGAAAATGATACGCATAATTTCATAAATTTCAATAATGAGAACTTTACTCTAAATACTAAATTCAAATTGAACATGATATTTATATATCTGAAGCTATAGGCTTTCTGCACGCTATGTTCGCCCATCGCCTTTATTTTTTTTTTTTTATCGGTTTTTGAAAGTTTTTTTTTTTTTGGGGGGGGGGGGGTTGTTGCTGATTTCTTTATGGCTGCCCCAGAAGGTAATGTTAATATGATACTTGATAATACCTGCACTATATCTCAAGATTAGTTCGGATATATTGTTGTTATCTCGGTCCATCCGTTCATCTGTCACACTATCTTCTTCCTCAAACTCCACTTACATTTTAAGCTGAAATAAATCGATCATTTGGAATATGATTGATTGTGTCTTGAAGATGTACAATATGATTTTTTATTTTCATCTCGGGACCAATTGAGGTTGAAGAACGACGTTTTACGCAGTAGCTTTTTTTAACATTTTTTTTTTTTAAAAATATCATTTATTTGAAAACAAAAGCATCACATACATGTTACATACAATGCATTGATTAGATTAGTTGAATCAGTACTATCTGCCATTTATAGAGTCATATAGAATAATTTATCACAAATTATCAAAATGAGAGAAAAAAAAACACAGACACAGAACAGCTAAATATTATAAGTATAATTGTATAGGTACCCTGTTATATCTGGGAGACATCTACTAGTATATGACTCTATAAATGGCATATAGTAATGATTCAACTAATCTAATCAATGCATTGAAAGTAACATGTATGTGATGCTTTTGTTTTCAAATAAATGATATTTAAAAATATATATATATTTTGTTAACATTTGGAATATGAATGCTGGTGTCCTGCACATGTGCAATAAGGTTTTGGAATTTTTCTTTTTACCCTGGAGCTAATTGGGTGACAAAACACTTTTTTACTATCAAAATCCTGTTCACAAAACCACTTTCACATATTACCCTGTACCCATACATGGATGGTGTCCTGAAGATGTACAATAAGGTGCCGGAATTTTTTATTTTTGACCAGGAGGCCCATTGGGGGAGGGAAAATGACGTATTACGTTTTTCTACAAAAACCATGTTCCCAGAACTCTCATATTTTAAGTAGCAGACCTATCGTAATTTTCGAATATGATTGGTGAAGTCCTGTAGATTTGCAATTTTATTTCTGAATTTTCATATTCATCCGGGGGTCCAATTGGTTTTTCTTACAATATTTATTTATTTATTGCAGGTCGAAAAATAGCAATGTGTTTCATCAAACACGTGTTTTTATATTTATAGTTTGTTAAAGTAAGTTAAGTGTAGTGACATTGCATGACTGGTCATGTAAAGCTCTACTGTTCTGTGTCACAGGCTTCAAGTTCAAGACTTTTGCGCTTTTCACACGCTTTACACCCACCCACCCTTCCTCTGTATAACAAATAGATACTCGGTATTACGTTTTCATTGTTGAAAATGTTAATTACAATATTCGTCTATTGTTGTAGATATGATATCAAGGCATTTATTTTTTTTTTTTATCAAGGCAGTGATCAGATGATCGCGTGTTCTATGTATGAATAAATGGGGAAGTCTTGGAATCATTACCCATAAATGATACTCTTATAATTTTGAATCAAGGAAGTAAATATTTTATGGGTTTTTTTTGGTCACCGGGTCGAATTAGAACATTAATTACAGGATACCTTTTATGTTTCTTTTTTTTTTTAGCTATTTGCACAGTACACGTGTGAGTAGTACTGTCTTATGACAGCATCTATAGCTTGAATTTGAAAGCGACCGTAAACCTTCCTTGCCAAAAGATTGATCATATTCAAGGGAGAAAAGCACTGTCTCCTCTCTCTCTGAGAAAATAATCATTGTTATAGTTTTATCAATTCATCACAATCGACGGAGACGTATATACAGCCCGGATCAAGCTAATCCGAGACTCTTCTGACGCTACCCCTGTAACATCAAAAGACAAAAGGAGGATGATTGCGTCAGAGAAATCTCGGTTTAGGATCATGACATAACTGACATGACACGACTCGCATAACTTCCCTGTAATGGAGTATGCAGTTTCAAATATAACTTAATAAAGTTAGCGAGTGTAAGTCTGATAACTTTATGGTAAAGGATTGTGTTGAATGAAATTGAGTGGCGGGAAAATGGTAAATGTACACTACTTTTCAATTTTGAGGAGTGCTTTCAAATCATATTGCAAAAATAATATTTATTTTTTACTTGGGATAATTCCTTGATTTTATACATGTCACTCGATCATGGGTGTACAATACAAAATTGTCATTGGCAATCTGGTTCTAGGAGTCTTGAGATGAAGTCTGAAGAAAAAAACGGCTTTTTTGCATCAAAAGTATGATAATAAGCATTTAATATTTCATGATATTGACTGAAGAAGAACGCAATCATTCTATATCCCAATATAAATGATGACGTCATTGGCTTCTTCAGAATTGAGGAGAGGATTTATATCCGGGCAAAACGGGATACAGCACAAATTCTACTAGTATTTATAAACATTTATCATACACTCATATTGCAACTGCGCGAAGATTATGATACAGTTGGTGAAGACATTCTTGATAAAGCATATGGCCTTGTGATAATTGCATGCAAATGCTCCGTCTGATAGCACATCTTAATGAAGCTGTCACAACCGTTTATTGTTTGTTATTTCTTTATTCAGCTCAAGAGTTAACAACCAATATATGCTTCACTCTATGCGAACAGTAATGCAAAAGAAAAATCAATGGTTTTTAACACACAGTTGTCATGTTTAACGAAGCAGCTGCAATAAAATGCTATATTAGTTTATTAAAAATACAAGTTGCACTGCGAAGAGGGAGAAAGGTGCAATAAACATGGATAATATAAATTCATTAAAAAATGCCAAGAATATAATGTATGTCTCTCTCCCTCTCCGACCCCAGTACAAAATTCTTCAAACAATACTTTTGGCGACAAAAATTGCAAATGTTCTAAGCATTTATCGTCGCTGATCACAATATGTGCCATAATGTAAGATACACTTTGTCGCCCTTCTGCAAGGAAGAAAAAAAGAGTCTCAACTCGATAGGCACATATTTTCGCCAATGCCAGTATGTACCGGTGGACGACAATATGTACAGTGAGGGTAGGTTCATATTGTTGCCGATGTCAGTGTGTACCGGTGGACGACAATATGTACAGTGAGGGTAGGTTCATATTGTTGCCAATGTCAGTGTGTACCGGTGGAACAATATGTACAGTGAGGGTAGGTTCATATTGTTGCCAATGTCAGTGTGTACCGGTGGACGACAATATGTACAGTGAGGGTAGGTTCATATTGTTGCCAATGTCAGTGTGTACCGGTGGACGACAATATGTACAGTGAGGGTAGGTTCATATTGTCGCAATATGTACAGGCTAAGAAATTTACCGTGACGGTCCCTTTCCTTACAAATAAATAAATGAATAAATAAATTAACTAAAGAGCGTTACAGTATCGATGCAATACTCTTTCGAACCCCCAATCCAAGCAGGGGGACAACAACTGTAAAAGTCTGTATGATACAATTGCTTTCACATTATGTAACGTGTACACATTCATTTAATTGCAGATTGTGGGAAATAATGTGATTACATAATGAAGTTGCTTCCTTGATATTTTGTTCCTTGTGAAGCGCAAACGAAGGGTCGCAACAAGAAACTGTTTTATAAATCATTAAAAAAAATTAGCACAGACTTCAGCTTTCAAAACAATAGCAGTAGTGAAATACATTCTAACTTGAATGAAATATTTTCAAAAGAACATTAAGAGACGTCAGCACAACAAGGTTTCTTTTGTCTGTTATATTAGATAACATGTTATTTCATCAATTCCGAATAAAACAAAATGTTCACTATTAGTAGTATACTTCTGAGAAAAAAATATATATGTACAATAAAACAACAGCTTGAAGACGTTGATTTCTGCAAGTATGAACTAGTCTAATTACATGTACTTCATCAATTGTTTGTTCTTTCAATCTTGCGATGTTTTGATAAAATTCGATGTCGAGGACAGTGTTTGGAAGACTGAAACAGAAAAAATGTAAACGTAAAGACGTGCTAAGTAGAAGAATCGAATACCAATTTCCGTTAATTATAAACGTGCATTAGATTGGCAGTGATATATGCATGTACCTTGTAGAGTTGACGTGAGGCTTCGTCGTCTAGATTCACAGAAATTCCTACGAGAAAAGAAAGATAACCTAAGTAAGGTCCTGAAAGTTCTACGATTAGTTTTGATATAAATTTTTTAGACACATATTTACTTTTTGCATGCGTATGAAGATTACGTGTTTTTTTCCTCTCTCTCCAAATTATACAAAATCATTAACGATGCTAAACTGGCTGGTGATAGGGCTTAATGTATTTGTGGTAATCGTGGAAACATTTAAAGGACCTCTTTATTGAATATTTTAGTAAAATAACTAATCTAAAGAGATTGTATGAAGTGTAGACCTCACCTAAAGAATGTGATTCTTTATAATATTTGACCGCATCCCTGTTACTGGAGAACTACAATAGATAAAGAAAATTACATACTAAAATCCTCACAACATCAAGGGTCCTGCATGAGTTCACATGGTCATGAGACTAATTGGACTCGGAACCCTTGATGTTGTGAGGATCGATCGATGCCACAGCATGTCAGTACAAGCAGACCTATATCAGCTTGAATTTAAGCCCAAGGGGTTGGAATAGGACTCGAGGGCTGATATGACATATGATATAGATTTAAGTATGTATATACTCTATATTTATCATATTATGTATTCAAAATATTTGATATGTGATTCCTCATTTCTTTTTCTTATGTCAGTAAATTAAGTTTGATGTGTGTATAAGACCACCTTCTGTAAAATTGTACATGTATATGAGAACCTTCCGTAAAATTAGATCCACTTATATGGTCATTCGAAAACTTACTGAGTCAACAAATTGTATAGTATTGTGTATCAATAAAATAAAGATATGTCACTCGTCAGCTTTTGAGAAAAAATTAGTCAGAACCTCTAACTTGGAAACTATTTAATAAATTCAATTTTTTATAACATATTTGAATTAAACAATGCAAATTCTACAATATTCAATTTAAAAACTGCTCACAAAATTATAAAGAAACAAGATTTTGGGGACTATTTTTTGTGGTGGAAGCATATTTAGATGGTTTTTTTTTTCAAATCTATACATTTGTAAAAATTTTAATAAATATCTTGGAACTTTAGTCCTACATACATGTACTTTTACTCTGAGAATATGTTTTCATTGTTACATGTATATGATAGGAATATTAAATATAGGTTTCAGTTAACATCTTGAGAACAAATTTTACACATTCACTCAACAGACTTTGCCAAGAAATGAAGATATATTGAAGTCGACATAAAATTTACATTGTTTTTTTTCCTTGAAAATCGCATATTTTGACCAGTATCTCAAAATTTACATCACTGGCCCCAACTTTTTCTTCATTATTTAAAACTACACGATACTTCCAACCGATCATCACTAAGTCTTAAAAAGCTTGATACAAGAAAATATTTTTTTGCCTATCTAGATTTTCAATACCCCAAATATGATTTTTTTTTTAATGCGAAGAGGTCACATAATAATTAACACGCATTAATTTGAAATAATTTTAAAATAATAAATATTATTCAAACTATTTTACATAAAATAAGATTATATATATTGCCATGATTATATCTGATAAATATGATAAAGATTAAGTGATTAACCTAAAAGTTACAATTTAGGTGCAAAAAAGGTCAAGTTACTTGTACATTGTATTGTTGTTCAGTAAGATGCACACTGACCCCCAGTTTTCTTTTCAATTTTGAGTCATGCTATATAGGTAGTTATCCAAAATATACTTCTCAAAAAATACGTGATACAACTCATGTCAGGGGTGACATACCTTATTAAATCGAAAACGTAATTTTCAATTTGATATCCATTTTTCCACTCCGGTCTGAATTTCGGACCGGTCTTGTAGAGTAGGCTTTCCCCTATAAAATTTTTCCACCGGAAAATAGGCCATTAAGTAGGATCCCCCGTAAAATACGTAAAATATACTCTAGAGTAGGATCCCCCCCACAGAAAATGACTCTAGAATAGGATTTCCCCTACGGAAATCCAACATCAGATTCGATTTTCCGGGGGGGGGGGGGGATCTTACTCTGTGTAATAGTTATAGAGTGCAATTTCCCTCAGAGCCAATTTTCTTTCTTTTGACAAAGATAAACTATTCTGAAGGAGTAAAAAAGACATCACTCTTTTCTGTGATTTACTGCTCGAAAGACGTAAACTATATCGGTTTCTTTTATAGGTCAGCTGCAATTTTTAAAGAAGAAATATGTCATATTGTAAAGTTTTTTTAAGTCTCCTGAGCTCCTTTTTGTAGGTTATGTGCAATATAAAAAATATATTTTACCTCTTTATTGCGTCCAAAGAAGTATAAGATTTCCCGATGAAGTTGTCGTTTCACAGGGGGAATGTCACGTCTTACGAAAGGATACACTAAGGATGGTGTCGCTCTACGGGAGTAAGGTGACTGAGTTCGGGAACTCGATTGAGAATCGAACACGAACGGCAGTGTTGTTGACGCTCGTTCGATTGGTTCGAGTTTACAGGGTACCCGAATTTCTCTAACATAGTTTGCTACCGGGTTCATAAAAGTAAACATGACGCAATATATGTACAGCAAGGAAAATCACATCCTCCAAGTTTTTTTCCTTTGGGGGGGGGGATTTTGACGGAGTCCCTCACTGGGGTCAGTTGGCTATCCTCCCTAAAGCACGTTCATCCTTAAACCTCACAGAAAAAATCCACCTGAAATACGTGTAGAATTATTTAAAGTCAACTATATCCAGATTTTGATTCAAGTGTCAAAAGAGCATAAAATAAATAAAAACTAATCTCGACATTTGCAAGTACCATGAAATTTAAAACTCTTTAAAGTGTATTTGTACAATTTTGATTCGTCAACAAATTACATCAAATAATCACCATGTCCTCTGAAATGAACAAGTACAAGTCAATAGAATATACTCTGTAGTAAATATTGATGTAAGGAAATCATAATTACTTACCACATCTCTCCATTCAATAAAAATTGGATTATATATTTTTTCTAAAGTTCGTTCCACCTCACTCAGCGTCAAGTTTGGTAACAGTTTACATTGAATATGCATGGAGATGTAATAGGGTAGTTCATATTAAATCTATGTAAAGTATTTTAAAAACACAGAGTGGCCGTGATAATATACATTTCTTCTCAACTTAAAGTTCAAATATTTGATAGGGATTAAGAGAATGTTCATCAGAACACCACCTCGCCGTCCAGGGGAACAAAGAATCGATTTGAATGCAACCATCAAACGTCTCCAAAACTTTCCTTAATTCGGGTGGTTATGAAACGCCTAATCAAATAAATAAATCATTTCGCAAAATATCACATCTCAGTTCCCTAGGAACATAAAAGAGACTTTAAGGAGACACGTGTCTTTGCTAGGTTTCAATTCTCTGGAATTGTTTAGGGTTTATATATACTCAATACTCTGAGCTTATGAACTGTCCATGTATCCACGATAAGGAACTTTCATTTAGAATATCTTATAATCAATGTCATTCTAATAGCTTTCATAAGAAAAGAAGTGTACTCCGGTAAAATTAATTGAGTCTATCTATCTCAAAATAGAATTACATCAATCGATCGATTTCTTCTAGAGTAAATAAATTTTCTAAGTGCAGGGATCATCAAGGGAAAACTTTTTAAAAATTTTTTTTTATTTTTGTACAGAGTGATATTTTGTACAATTTTAATATGCTTTTAAAATATTAAGAGAAAAGAATTAAGATTTCAAATTCATTAGAATATTTAATAGCGAATTTAAGACGCTTACCTTTAAAGAACAGACTAGGCATTATAATGATTGTCAATAATTTGTCTTGAGTGTCACAGACCGCATAAAAATGGGTGTTTAAATGCAATAAAACAAGGACTGTCAAAAATGCATGCACTAATACTTTGTTTTGTTAACCAACAAATGATAAAGACCATTTACAATACCCTGACGCTATGAAAGGGATCAAACTTTTCTTCAATTGTGAGAAAGTAATTTTTTTTTATCCCTCATATATCTAGACATTTACATCTTTATTGAATTAAATTGGTCTGGGCACATATATATGCATTTAACGCCCACATCTTAAATCTTCGAGAAGAGCACGGATCTCTATCAAGATTTTGAAGCTAAAATTTCGTGAATTTTACTGTCATTTTTTAAAAATTATCATAGAATGATATTGTTAAATTCATCAAATATAAACGCTTAAATATCAGAACTATCAATTCTTGCAAAACATGTATAATGAACATAAAGTTTACAGAATCTGGCATCATATGTTAGAAAGTATTAAATAAGTGAAGATGAAACTTAAAATATCTTTTTGTTTGTTTGTTTGTTTTTTGGTAATAAATGGAATCATGGTATTTCAATCTCGTACATTGAAAGCATGATTCATAATTATACTCCCCAAACTCCTTTAGGTTTCAACAAAACAGTACAGATTAGGTGTAATGGGTTCCTACATTATACAACTATCAAAATTGAATGCAAGGACATGCATGCATGTGTGCTCAAATCTGATTCACTAATACTTTATAGATTGTATCGCTCTTACTACTGAATATAATTCTTTGAAGTTTAAGACATTGGCGTATAAGGCACTATAAGAATATATATATATGTGAGAAATCTAGAAAATACGCGCAAGGACGTGTGCTGAAATCTGATTGGCTAAGGTTCTTAGTATTTATAACGTTCTCAATGATGTTACTGAAAGATGAAATTTAGAGTACGTATAAATAATACAAGTTACTACATTATTCAATCATCAGAAATAAATACACGGACATGCATGCACGCTCGCTGATTTCTGATCGCTTAATATTGATGTTGTTGAACTTTCTATGTTCTCAGTGAAATTCTTTGAAATTTAAAATGGAACTTTTTATAACGGCTTTTTATCATATTTAGTACATGTATATAGTAATTTTCGAAATCATGTGCTTGCATGTGTACTTAAATCTGGTTTGCTTAAGCTCACTGTGCTATATTTGCATTGCTATTTCTTCAGAATACTTTTGAAAATAAGTTATTAAAGTCTATAATGCAAAGATTAAGGTTTTACTTAACCAAAGTAAGTGGGGGGGGAGGCGTTTGGAGAACATCTGTAACGGTCTCCGATACAATTAGAACTAGTTTGTTTTTGAATTCGCTTTTAAAGGGTATTCAAAGACCAAAACGTTTGTTTCCTATCGATTTCCAAACATAACAATATTATAGTGTCACAAGAATGCTTCTGAATTAAGCTATGACCTTCTGAATAAAACTCCAATATGACACCTCTTTCTTGTGACACGTTTCTAATTTTGTGTCAGTTGTTTTAAAATAACAAACGGTATCACATTTGAACTTAATTCTTTTTACCGACCTCATTCATGTCACATTCACAGTTCATTTATTACATAAGGGGTGGGGGGGGGGGCGTTGAACCTAAACGGTTCAAATTCATCCTCATTCTTTCAAGAGCTGCGGAAGATATCACCCTTGTCATACGAATTCTATTCACATTTTATTTTTATTTACATGAATTAAACAAGATTAATTCTAATCAAAACCATTTTATTTTGGCAACATTTTCTTTTGCTTGTTTGAAGCTCCCCCATCCTCATTTAATAAAGAATTTCTAAATTTTACTTCATGTCTGTGCACCGATTTGACACGCAAAACCAATTACATTACTGAATCTATCTAAAGAGCAGACCTTTGTAATATCCATTGCACAAAATCACCACAAATTTGAACAGTAGCTCGTAAAAGTGAAAAGTGAATACTACGTCTAATAGGCTCTAAAAAATCCCCAATTAATTTCTCTATGACGCAGATCTGTTTTCAACCCATTAAGAGCCATCTCTGGATTAGAGCAATGTTGTGTGTTTTTCAGATGATCGAGAAGAACAGGTTCTGGAGTGAAGGGTTTTATTTGCAATTGCAAGCAATACTGAGAAGCAACACAATATGAGCTCTTAACAAAAGCAACGAAAGGATCCCAAAACGAGAAAAAAACTCAATATCTCAATAATTCCACTAAAAGGCAACGTTCAGCTGGTCTTCAAGGACACCAAGTGATACCATAAAAACACTTCAAATCTGTTACCTTAGGATGTCATGAGGTGCTTTATGTGAGATGAACATTTTTAGGCGGCGTGCGGAAGTTTATCATTGGTTTAAATAAAATAAGTTAGAAAATTAATACTGTATACAGGAAAATTTTCACCCCTTTCGCCCTAGGGCGAATTTAAAAATGGGGACGAATTCCAAGAAGACAGTGTTAGCTCTTTAATACAACTATCTGGGAGAATTTAAAACGGGGGGGGGGGGGGATAGTTCGAAAGTGTGCTAGGGGAAAATAACCGCTATGTTTTTGCTTCTTGCAATGTCAATTCCTCTGAATATATCCTTTAAGCAACCTCGGGCTCAGTGTTCTGGAAACCCAGCACATAGCTCAATATTCCAAAAACAAGCCACGTGATTTATGCGCAAAAAGATTCAACTTGAGATCTCCGATGTATATAATTATTTTATTCTTATGTCAATGGTTTACAAAGTAGGACATCCAGTAACTTAAACGTTTTTGTTCAAAGAATTTAATATTGTCCAGTCTTTAGAAATATTTAAAAAATGAAACTGTGTGTGTGTGTGTTGTGTGGGTTTGTGTGTGTGTGTGTGATCACAGAGGGAAAGGGAACAGCCACAACTATGGAAAATATTTTGCAAACACATTTTTAAATTTTGAAATATGAAACTTTAATCCTAAAGTCAGACTACATCTGCAATTAGTTTGAGTGAAAAATTACATCAATAATAATAATAATACATTTATGTCAGTGAAAATTTTCAAATAGGCCTACATTCAAGGTCTAAAACTAGATGATCCACATGAGGGGCATAAGACTTCACATGTTCAATGTGCAAAATATTTGTCCTCCATTGTTGTGGTAAATGGATTTTTTCCAAAATATGTTTAATGCTTTTGGAAACTTCTTCAGACCAGTCCATCCATTTGTTCTTTGTTGCTGTCTTCAATGACTTTTCTGAAAACGTTCCATCAGGCACACCATTGCTTGAATATGAACATAAATTTAATTCTGTATCAGGAAAGTTTTGATCTAGGTCTTTAAAGTCATGAACAGTTTTGCCTTTTGAACATTCTCCAATACAAATTTCAGGGGAGTTTATTTTCACTTCTCGACTCTCTACGTTGCCGTGAATATGGAGAATTCCACCCGAACCAATCTTTAAAGCTGCACAGGCTACTTCCCAACCCGGCTCTGACGACGGAATCAATCCCAAATTAACCCGATCCGCAATGTTTTTTGGGCAGTGCTGTAATAATAAACAACCAAATACAATTGATACATTTCATTAAAATGTTTACCATAGTGGTAATCACGAACAAGCTAATTCTAAATATAAATTTTGAAAGTCATGGTCATGTTTTGAGAAAAAAAACTGTTTGAGCAGGAGAAAATAAATGATCACATCTGTTCCAGGAAAAAGTTCTACAAAACAAGAGTTGCATCTTTAATTACAAAGTACTTCGTATTTTCAAAATGGATGAACTAAATACCGATCGAAATCATCACAAGATCAAGAGAGTTACATGTTAATGGACAGGCATTATAAATATAAACACTTGTCTGGTTACACTACCTCTCGGTTGTCTCCGAAGTGGATCGTACATCTATCTTCCACTTCATTCAGACTAAGATTTCTCTTCAACGCCTCCGCAGCATCCGGGTTCCATTCACAAGCATGAACAAAGCGGGCTTTGCTGTGAACTAAGTAGGGCAAAGTGAAATATCCAATACCTGTTATAAAAGTAAAAGTGTGCACATATTTAAAAATATTCAAGTAAATAAAGTGTGAAAGAAATATAATATAGAAAACATGTGAAAAAAAAAATTAATATAGTAAACGTATACGAAATAGGAAGATCATTGAAATACGTAATGTTCTTGTTAATACAAATCAATCATTGTAACACAGTAAAGCTTCCAAGTTATTCTTATCTAATTCATTTTAAATATTTTTGTCACAGAAGCAATAAATGAGATATAGTAAGGCAAAAATTGTCTACTAATATTGAAATCAACAATAAAATTAAGGAAGTATAACATTTAAAATTAAAGGGATATAATTAATCTGAATCAGTATCTATTTTCATCCACTATAAACAAACATGTGACAAAGAAGGTGACAAAATAGTACAATTTAAAGGTTTAAAGTTCAAAGATCAGGTCTTTCAACAATCTGTTTGAATTACGCTGGGAACTAATTGTGCTCCTTTATTAGCCGACCTGTTTTTATATTCTTACGAAGCAAAATTTATTCAAACACTTCTACACTAGAAGAGAAAACTCTTGCTATGGCCCACAACTCAACATTTAGATATACTCGACGACATTTTATCAATAAGCAATAGTTACTTTCATTCATATGATGATTCGATATATCCCAATGAACTCGAAATAAAAGACACCATAGAGTCTGCCACATCAGCACATCTATGAAAATTTCCTTCAATGTAAATAATACATAGGGCGCATGGCAGGTGTGACCTGTCAAGAGGCACCTGATCCTAACTCTGAAATTTCCGGGGGTTCGTGTTTTGTCATTCGTGTTGCCCCGTTCGTTCATAGATTTGTATTGTTTGTAGATTTTTTTTTTTTGATCGATCACTGTTCGTTATCTTTCACCTTTTACATTTCATATTTGGATATTTCACTGACTAAAGACGATAAGTGACAACTAATAACTAAACTGTATGACAAAGGGGATGACTTCAGCTTTTCCATCGTCAACAACCCATGTAGTAATATTCCAGCATCACCTGCATATGGTGTTTATGTCTCCCAAATGATTCGATGCGTTAGAAAATGCTCCGAGTACGATCAATTTTTAAACCGAAGCAAGCTACTGAAAAAAGTTGATGTTCCAAAGATTTCAACAACCCTGTTCAAAGTCAGGTTTTTGCAAATCCTATGGTCGTTATAATAACCTTCCTTGTAAATACAACCTATAGTTGGATCGTATTTTGTCTGACATGCTTCATACCTTAAAACATAGGACTCACCGTGGATGTGACCAGTCAATAGGGGATGCTTAATCCCCCTAGGCACTTGATCCCACCTCTGGTGTTTCCAGGAGAGTGGGGGTTTTTTTGCCTTCGTTTTGTTTATTGGGTTTTTGAGATTGATCACTGTTTTTACATTAACAGCTTTAAAAAAAAACACTTTAATTCAGGAAACAACTACAGAGTACTTCAGAGAACAAACAATGCAAGACTTCACATTCACATGACCTTTACATATGCCATTATTTAAACTTTACAACTTTACAACAAGCATAATTTCAGATGTTTGATTAGAAGTATTGCAGTTTCTATGATTACCTTTAAAAACATCCTTTGACTACCTTCCACTTCATCTTATTATTTATAGAATTTTGTGAAGAAAATAACTTTTAGACGAAAGCTTGAGATGACTATTTTACACCAATGAATGATGATAGTACATGTTTACATCTCAACAAATTAGACGATAATAAGACAAATGCAAAGGGATTTTTTTTTCTAATACAACTTGAATTCAATAATCTGGTACCTACTTCATCGTCGTAGCTTCAAGCTATAGTAAAACTGAAGAGGGCAATGAGCTTTTAATTACGATGATTTCAAATTACCAGCAAACGGGCGACAAGTTCCTAATGAGGAGGTGGGAATTTGCAGCAAGAAAGGAAAGTCGAACCATTATTTTGAAAGGCGGAATATACACACAATTACACTAATTTGCTTGATGAAACATTGCACTTACAATTGTGGCTTCATCCGTTACTGACCTGCATATAAATCTACAACAGTTTCTCCTTCACAGCAAAAACTGGCAATGCGAATTTTTTCGGTCACATTTCCAGATGAGAACATACATTTCGTGACATCATATGTGTACCTGTTAAAAAACGTCCTAATACTAAGAGAAAGACAGAAAGGTATGCAAAAGTACATGTCATATTCTCGTCCTGTATATTTTGTCGTCGGCGACAATATTATGCACCTATACCTGTAACCTCACTGCACTTATCGCCGTCCATCGACACATATTGTCGCCGGCAGAAAAATTATATATATACATATTGTCGCTGAAGACAATATGTACCCCTCACCACACATATTGTTGCCCCATATTTGGGGGCATGTACTTTTTTAGTTTTGTGAACGTAATTGGTTTGCAAATCATACAGAATTGTTACGTTGAATAGCTATATATTCATGAAGCGCAATGATGAAGGACAATGTAGGGTAACGGCCGAATTTGACCCCTTATTTGATGTAAAAATCAGAACACAGTTAAAACTGTGATAGTTTGTTTATAAGAACTTAAAATGATGCTTGTTTTAAAATCAACACTAATTTTGATTCAAAGATTACAAGGAGGCCATAAAAGGGTGTGGAAGTGGGACATTTTTCGAATTTCCTAAATTGTGGTGGAATTTCGTCAAATTTAAGATTCTTTTCACTTCGGGGAAACACAGAGCACAAGCTTTTCTATCTGAGATATTCATACACAAGATGCATCTGATACTAGTGTATGAAATATATAAATTTGGTAGATAGGCAAGCTTGTGCTCTTTGTTTTCTGAAACAAAATGTGCTGTAAAATCGATGAAAATTTGCATAAAAATAAGAAAATTCGGAAATTGACATATTTCCTGGCCTTCCTGTGACCTCTCTGTATCCATTAACTTAGAACCGGTACTCATTTTTCGACAGGGGTGACAACAGGTTTTCATTGATAAACTGTTGCGTCATTCTAAAAGATATCCCAAACCAGGGGCCAAAAAGGGGTCTTAGCCTATCTTGTCCTTTAAATCGAAAATTACACTTACATCTTTAGTTGTCATGAGATTGCAAATTCACTAAAATAAAAAAAATCATCTTTTTAACACACAATTGTCATTTTTATCTCTTATAAAGCAGTTGGAATAAAATATCTTTAAGATACAAGTTACGCTGTCACTCTCTTTGACCCCAGTAAAAATACTTTGCAAACAATACTTTTGGCAACAAAATATGCAAATATTTTGCAGCATAATTCGTTGACGAGCACGATATGTGCCAATATGATAAGTAAATTTTGTCACCCATTCTGGATGGAGAAGAAAAGTTCACTTTGGCACATATTGTCGCCGGTGTCAATATGAAATAATGGACGACAGTATGCGCAGTGAGGGAGGTATATATTGCCGCCAGTACCAATATGACTGTACTGTCACAAGTTATATTGTTTAGTAAATTCCCTTTAGTAAACAACACTGTCCTAACAAAATTGTCTTGTAATGAACATATGTACTGTAGATTGTAATTAGTACTATTCTGCAAAACAGTTGAGAAACAATATTAGATTATAACAATTATATTGTAGTTAAGCACTGACCTGATTCCATTATCGACGTGCTCCACATATCCGTTTTCTCCCAAGAGAAGGGACACACATGGGGTACGGTATCCATTGGAAACAACACTTCCTTTTAGTGCCAATTTCTTGCAAGATAGAATTTTTGCGATCAAGTGCCAGATTTCGTTACCTGAAATAGAATTATATATCAATACCATTTTTTTAAAACTCTTGACGTCTTCTTTTTGTTATACCGGTATTAACCCCATGTTATATAGATTTCCCCTGATGCAAAACTATATAAAAGATTTCCCATGATGCAACAAATTATCGCGCATGGTCAGACTATTTTTTCATAAGAATAACAAAGTTGCTGATCAGAAAAAGAAACATGAAGACGACTTATTGTCCGAGGTATGACCTGATGAGAGGATGGAGGTTCAACATTCGAATATCGAAATTAGCGTTGCATTAGTACTGATTTAGTTATGTATTATTTTGAAATATACCAGTGCTAAATCTTGTACCGGAAATACCGGTATACAGTCATGTAACATTTCCTAACAGAAAATGTAGACTGTTAAAATAAAATCCATAAATGATTTTTTTAAAACGTGTGACTCATCAAATTATTCTATCAATCAAAGATTACACGTAACTAAAATAAACAAATGACTGAGGGACATTATTAATTCTTCTCTTACATTAAATCCGAGGTGAATAGTGACAAATTTCCAAAATATTCCTTGGAGCTTTTAGCTTTCAATGTCACTATTCTACATTTGTATCTATAATTAAAATATGCCTTCTTATTTTAAGCTGGGCCTGGAAAAATTACTTTTTAATACCCTCATCAAGATCTTAAAGAGGCTGTTGATCAATGCAATGGATGACAGAATTAGGGATGTCACCTTAATTATGAGCCGTAGAATGCAATCAGTCATGAGCTGAGAGCTGCTGGACAGTGAAATCAGCGGTAATGTACCAAACATTACAGCGAACCAGTGCCCCAAAGGAGACTTATTAGGATGTGAAAAGAGAAACAATGGGAAACCATTATCTCAGAAATGGAAGGGTCATCTGCCTCGTTTCATACAACCCTGTAGAAGCTCGATAAACAAGCATAATTGGACAGCTAGAGTTTCCACTTTTATTACATATAAGCCAATTTAGATTCCTGGAATTTAATATACGGATACGTTTTTTTCTCTTGACAAGATTACAAAACAATGTTTTAACCCATTTGCTAATGTTTCACTTTAAGACTGTCGGGTGTACAGTATTCTTCATTAGCGTTGTGTAATCTCAAGCATCTATAACATATATTTTCCCCATTCCCTGAAACATAACACATTGTTTATTACATATGTTTTACAGTTTTTAATTTCCTCCAAGAAAGAATTATTCTTTTGCATGTTTCACCTGTTTTACAACTGTAACTCAAGTGCAAAGGATTTGGAGGAATTCCTACAAGTATCCATTTATTGCAATAGAAAGGGGAAAAAAACAAACTGTGCACATTATTTAATGAAATTAATGTTTTATTTGGATAAAATGTCAGAATTCGTCTATCTATCACTGGAATATGAGAAATTATATCTTGGACCTCGCCAGAGAATACGGGACTTATCTACAATAAGCCTATAGTTTGCCTGATTAAATACAGACCATGTTGATTTTTTAGACTAATAGTTTTTTCATTTGATTGTCCTCGTTTTTCTAATATCTTTTCAAAGTATCATTGTTTTGATTTACAGAGATATGACATTGACAAATAACATTTTGGTTACGAAATAAATCTAAAAGGTAGCAACCGTAATACATTGATTTTGTTCTCTTTCTCCTCTCTCGGCTAATTACGAACTAGATTTTATCTCTACGTACCATTCTATTTCTTTCGCTCCATTAGAGACACAATCTTACCGAACTGTTTCCAGAAAGGATCTTGAAAGTAGCCCCCAAACATAACCAAGTCACCATGGCGTTCCCATTGTCTCGGAATATCATTTCTATATTCTTCCGCGAGCACTATGCCACGGTCGCACAGGAACTTCTCTATACCAGACACCATTTGTTGGTATGGAGTGGCAATATGGTTCTTCTTTGAGGACGGTAGTTTGACATGGACTATTTCCCAATCAGCAATATTCTCGGTAGTAAATGCTTTTCTTATTATTGGTTCCAAGCATTTGCCTTGATCCAATATCGGAAGTATTACTTTGCCATCTTTTGAACTTTTCGATCGTCTGTTAGAGTCGTATAGATCAGAACTTTGCAGACACTTCCTAAAATGAATGAAAGTGTATTTTCATGTTTTTGAATTTGTCAATGGATTACTGAATTATACTAAAATAATTTTCCTTTCTCTCGAGAACCGTTGGCGTTTGACCAAGAATTATTACTTGCGTCCATCAACTTATCATCCCTATAGACCCAAAAACTAAACAATTATTCATAATACTTACAATTTTGCAACAATTAATAAATGTTAGTACATGTATTTTCATGTTGATAAGATTGACTATCTCATTCTAGACACCAAAATATTTTACACTTTCCTTATATTCGGTGTTTTCAACTCATTTTAATAGTCCCCAACCCACTCTGACCTCCGTTTTCCTAACAAAGGGATGTAAAGGGTACCAATGATGGAACTCCATATTTTCATATTTTGAAGACTACTGTACCAAAAAAATTATCAAAATAATATCAGCGTCATGCAGTCTCATTAAGATGGTATAACCACGATTTTTCTGTCATTTTTTTATTGACAAAACATTGGGCCATATTAAATATTTCAAAATAAAATCAAACTTTATCAATACAGTGATAATATTCGCGTGAGTAATTTATATTTGCGATCGCCTCTTCGTCATAGAAAAACAACTGAAAGAATACGTCCATTAAGTCACATGCTTTGTTGTTGATCTATCACAAGAAAGACGGATTTCTTTTTTTACTAAGAGGACTATGGTTGAGAACATATTAATAATGCCCTGTTCACACGGAGAGTTTAATTCGCAGTAAATTAATGCGAAGTAAACTAATGCGAAGTAAAATTTTATTTCTACAGTAAGACTTTTCAGTAAGGCTATTATGACGTCATTTTCAAATCACGTCACCTTACGCAGAGCAAATCCATTTGACATAATGTCATAGTGTCTATACACATTTCAGTGATTAACGTAATTTTCCTTTGTTTTGCACTAAAAATGGCATAGGTACCTATAACCTATAATAGCACAAAATTTAATTCGAATTAGCTTCGCTTAGCGTTCACACGGAGCTAATGCGAAGTAATTTAATGCGCAGTAAACTAATTCGAATTAAACTAATTCGCATTAAATTCTCCGTGTGAACGCGGATCAAATTTAATTCGCAGTAACTTACGTTTAATTCGAATTAAACTCTCCGTGTGAACAGGGCATAAATGTAAATATTAAATATATAATCAAAACTTTATTGTGCTTTATTGTAATTAAATATTTGTGCTTTATTGGGTATACTATGTACGTGTGTCTTTATATCGATGGCCATGATAAACTAGTATTTGAATTCTTATCTGGACCAAGAAAATTCTCTCTCCATTTAAAGTATGCACGTCATGTCATTGTAAGAACCAGTTGCTGTTTTTTTTTGCTTGTTTGTTTGTTTGTTTGTATTGCTTTTTGAAAAATGTTCTGGACAGACAGACAAACTAGCAAAGTAATCTTCCCTCTCTATGATCGTAATGATGTGGCTAGATTCTATTTCATTTACTGCATTCACACTGAAGGTTCTTAAACGAAATTAAAGCTTTATACCCCAAAACCGGATTTTAAATTTGTAAATGTATGTATAATTTAATTTATTGTCTCAAAGTATTTTCATTTCATAAACTGACAAGAGTAGTTTAAAATCTTCCATGCAACAGGACGGATTAAGAAATACCTAAAACATTTCCACTGAAAATTATAACTTACCTGAACTGTGAAATCACATAACTGTTCCCCCGCTTTCGCGAAAGCGAATGGACATTTTATCTTATTCGTCTGTCAGTCTGTCTGTCACAAAAACTATAACCTTAAATTGGCCATAACTTTTGAATGACAAAAGTTTAGGCTTTCATATTTCACATGTACATTACCTGTGACCTTTCCAATTATACTATGATTTTTAACCCTGTGACCTTGACCTTGGAGTTTGACCTATTTAAAAAATTTTAACATTATTTTCAATTGGTTATTATAATTTTTGAATGAGAAAAGACTTAGCTTTCATATTACACAAGTATATTATCCGTAACTAGACCTTTCTAAAAATAATTTTTGACCCTGTAACCTTGAATTTGATGTTTGACCTACTTTGAACTTGGTGTTTGACCTACTTTTCACAAATTTTATATTTGCTTATAACTTTTGATTGAGAAAATATAGGGCTTTTATATTTGACATGTGCATTACCTGTGCCAAGACATTTCCGAGTATGCTATCTTCTTACCCTTGACCTTGACTTGCATATTTGATCTAATTTTCAAAAAATTAACTTTGGTGATTTCTTTTCAATGACATATGATAGGGCGTTCATATTTGACAAGTGCATTACTTGTGTCAAAATGTTTCCGAATGTGCTATGATCTTTGGCCCTGTGAACCTAAGTTTGACCCAATTTTCAAGCATTTTGTCAGTGTTGCTAATTTCACATGGTTTTATACAAATACCTTAATAATTTCTTAGTAACTTTGCTAAACACATTTTTTTAAAAATAAGGTCAGGGTCAAAAAAAAGGTCAAATCACAAAATGTTAATAGAGTTGAATAGTTCTCTCCAATATGTATCAGCATATAAGGTTTTATAAAACTATCTTGAATAACTCCTTGAAAAAATAAGCTAAACAAAAATGTTGAAAAGTGAGGTCAGGGTCAAAGAAAAGATCAAGGTCAAAAAATGTTAACGCAGTTAAATAGCTCCCATCAATTTGTTCCATCATATAACGCGCTTTACTCAATTTGTTTGCACACACCGTTGCAGTTATGAGACATTATCTTTCAAAAAATAAGCATTCAATACTTATATTTGCATTTTTAACTCCTTGTCTTGACTACAAATGTGATTTGTATTTCAAAATCCCTATATTATCCTTCGGGTAAGTTACAATTAATGGAAGAGCCATTGCAACAGTTTCTGTTCAATGTGAGCATGAATTTTGATTTTCGCTTATGACGTTGCAATTCCACGGCGTTCAGCGTTTGTGACGTCAAAATAAACGTATACCTTTTGACCCCCTGTCCCTGTTATGGTGTTTTGAATGCCGTAGTTTTTCACACAGTTTATAAGCAAAAAATATGTGTAATGTAAATATTAAAAAAATTCTTGAAGAGTTTCTTTGAAATTGAGTTAAAGAAATTTTTAAGTGAGGTCAAGGTCAAAGGTAAGATCAAGGTCCAAAACTGTTGATGCATTTGAATAGCTCTCATAAAAGAATCAGCATATGAAGTTTGATAAAAACATCTTGAATAGTTTCTTAGAAACTGACGTAAACGCAAAGAGTGACGGAAGGACGGACATGACAAACACTATATGCCCCGGTCATATTCATGGCGGTGCATAAAAATTCGGAAATAGGAAATTTTCAAAGTCTAAGGGCAAAAACGTTTTATTAAAATGGGTCAATCGACATGAAACTCGAAAATGATCTTATGTTATCAACATAAAGTTATACACCAAACATCAGCTCATTATCTACAAGCGCAGCCAAAATAAAGTCTGCAAAACTAATTATGACGGAATGAGAGACTGAAAGAGTTTTTATTTACATAGTCCCAGCCATTCCATGGCGGGGCATTAAAACTTTTGATGAACAGATGGACGAACAACGAACACTAGTTCTCTCTGTACTTTTAAACTTGCCCTTCTTGTCTTCGACTCACACTAATACAATGTAGAACGTGTTGCAAAACTTTATAAAATTAAGATATAAATATACTGTATCTTTATAGAAAGACAGAATACCATAATAAAATATATATACAGTGTATATATATATATATATATATATATATATATATATATATATATATATATATATATATATATATATATATATATATATATATATATATATATATATATTCAAACCTCATATACAACACCATAAAACTTGACCCATCAATCCTTTTATTGTCAGAATCATACTTTTTGCACGTTAGCTCATGTCTTAGATGACATCATAAAAGATTTTCATAATAGACGAATCAATGATCGATCAACACCTACATCTATGAAATCTGGCTATGGTTATTATATTGGGAACAATGGATGTTTCTAAGATCAACAGTTGAAACACTAAAGCAATCAAACGCCTGTCTAACAAAAGGGCAGACACCAGAGTTAAATGATAAAATGTCAGACTATTCTACCAAATGATATACAACAATGTTTAGAAGTCTCCCCATTCCCATTTCTTAAATATATATATATATATATATCTTTATATTCTCTAAAATATTAGTGTGCCTTGTTTAACCTCGTGTCGCTTCAACCTCATATGTGAGCTCATCCGGCCTTAACAATGCTTTCTGGGAAAAGCCCGAGAGTTCCGGATGACCGAGCCTAATTGCGACACCTGGATAAAAGTTCTGTGGGCGGGTCTTTTACAAAGAGTGATTACAAGAGAGCGGTCATTTATTTGACAGCTAGGGTCTAAGTACTGCTTCCTGTCAGATATGAGTTCTTCTACAGGTCTGTCGTGGTTTGACACTAAGCGTCTTTACATCAACGAAGATGAAACAAAACTATTCGGCTTATCAGGGGAAAAAATCCATCGATTCATTAACTCTCTATAAACACGATGACTACAACCTCAGTACCCCTCACTAAATCATAATGACAACCTAAAAAGGATTTACATTTTTTTTAAAAAAAATAGAACATGGAATATTTGCGATGTACAAGTAAGACAACGATCTAAAAACAATTAAAAAAATACTTAAAAATTATTTCTGGGAAGAACATTTTTTTAATTCGAGGAAGACTTCGCCCTCAATTTTAACATTTCTTTTTTAAAGACTAGAAAGGAAAAAGGAAATCCTACAAGTAATTCTATGGTTTAGACTTATAAATGATATCTAAAATAGCTTAACAAGGAACAAAACAAATAATAGGACAGTCCTACACGTATATAAAGCAAAATCACATTTTTAACACTGGCGAAACATTCCTTCATCAGTGTTCAAACATTTAACACAGGACATTGTCCATCCAGGATTAGACTCAGAGCTCTGAAATAATCAGACAAGCGCATTTCT